GTTCAGGTTCCGGCTCTTCGTCTCTTCTCTGCTGCCTCGTCTCTCTCTCTCTCGGTTCGTCGGTCTGTCATCTCTCTCTCTCTCATTCTCTCTGCCGGCTCGCGCGCTTCCCGTGCGGCTCGTCCTCTCTCTCTCTCTCGTCTCTCTTCTGCCGGCCTGCGGCTCTCTCCTCTCTCTGGCTCTGCTCTCTCTCGTCTTCTCTCTCCTCGTCGTCGCCTCGCTGCTCTCTCTCTCTCTCTGCGCTCCTGCTCCTCTTCTCTTCTCGTCTCTCGTCTGCTCTCTCTCTGTATCTCTCCCGCATCTCTCGTACTGCTCGCTTCTGTCTTGCTCAGTTCGCGGCTCTCTTGTGTCGTCCACAACTCCGGGGACCAGGGGATCCCATCCTCAGCATCCACGGCGCCCGCCCGGCCCGTCCGCCCCGCGGCCGTGTCGCCGCCACACTCCTCTTCTCTCAAGTTCTCTTTCTCTCTCGGTTTCTCTCCTGCGTCATGCTGGCCCTCGCTTCCTCTGGGCTGCTCTCCTTCCTGCTTCTCTCTCTCTCTTCTCTCTCTGTCTGTCTGTCTGTCTGTCTGTCTGTTGTCTGTCTGTCTGTCTGTATGTTCTGTCTGTCTGTTCGTCTGTCTGGCTCTGTCCTGTCTGTCTCTGTCCGTTGTCTGTCTGTCTCTCTCGTTCTCTTCCGTTGCTCCTGTCTGTCTGTCTGTCTCTCTCCTGTGTCTGTCTGTCTCTCTCTCTCTGCTGTGTCTGTCTGTGCCTCTCTCTCTCTCTTCTCGTCAGAGAGAGAGAGAGAGCAAAGCGAGAGAGCTAGACAGACACAGATAGGGGGAGGGGTGCTGTTATGAATGGATGCAGCCAAAATTGAAACCTAACCAACTGTGAACCGTGACAACGATCCTGGCGGGAGAGGGAGTCACCTACAAACCTAGTCGTAAAACCGTCACAGGAAAGGCGCTATCAGTTCACATTATCGCATGAGATTACCAAGTCACATTACCGTGTGACATTGTCATGTCACATGATCGTGGTGTGTGACATTGTCAACAGTTAGCTGGACCGCAAACACGGACACGCGCGCACCAGCGGACGCCCATGAGCGGCATCGTGAGTTCGGCACCCCGAACGAATTTGTCATTATACGCTCCTGATATCATCACGCACAGCTCTCTCTATTATATATACACGCTGGGATTATGCTATCATGCGCGTGCGTGCGCGCGCACGTGCGTGCACGCGTGTATGTGTACGTGTCAGAGAACCAGTGACCTGGCTGACACAGAGTGATCACGCGCACTCGCTGCACGTAAAACAATCGGAAGCTGATGATTCAAAATTCAAAAACAAAAACGAAAGCCGAGTACATTTAATTTCCGTCGCTATTAGTGAGTCACGGGTTGACTTGTCTTTTCTAGCTGCGCCATCACGAGCGGTGACTCACCTGTTCCAGTATATATCAAGAGTCCATAATAGAAAATTGAAACATAATTTTCTATTATGGA